AAACCTCAATCAGGATAGCCAGGCTTCTGGTCCAAATACGTCCTTCCTGAACATGCAGTTGGACTGCTAACTTGGTTACTGGCTTAATGTTTGTTAAATTATTCTTATTTTATGACATGTTTAAGTGTATATTGCATAACTAAATACTAATCAAATTACTTATTAATATTAATTTTGGTTTTAATTTCCATGGAATGTGACTGATGTATAATGCAAACACGTGGAAATATATTTTTCATTTAATGCAGTTTAATTATTAGTATCATTATTTGAACACATGTACTGTTTCACATGTGGGACAATTGTAAAAGTAAAGTCATCCCTACTGATTAACTAAACAGCAAACTTCATGTCCTGGTCACTTTACCCCTAAAGAAAAAAACCCCACATAACTAACTCGCATAAACTGTATAGGAGACTGGATGGACCAGAGAGCTGGTATGGATGATGAGGTTAACAGAAAAATCATGCACTCCAAAAATAAAAGGCTGGTCATCCAGCCAACAGCCTGATCAGTATACTAAATGACCCATGATAGCTCCACTGACAGACAACTGGGATGCGGTAATTTTCTTTAGCAACTGCAAAAGTGAAATTACTGTTGTTGTCACACAGTTTACAAAAATTATTTCAGTTATGTGAACATGCATAGGGACCTTGTCTCACAAGCCAGTGACTGCTGTGAAAATTAATTCATGTTAATTTTTGCAGACTCTATGCAAAATTACCAGGAGCCACATACAGCAGGCCATAAACCTCACTCTGCACAACCTTGGTCTAAATGACAAAAATGCATTAGTATTATAGAAAATTTGTTGTAATCAAATGCTTTTAAGTCTTTGAAAAGTACAAGTATTCCAGTAATGAGAAATAATACCCCACTCAGTGATTTTCAAATAACGCACTTGTTTGCACAGAGCTGGAGTTGGTCACGGTCTGTGGTGTGTCTTGTTTCCAGAATATGTGGGCATGGCTGTCCATCACCTTCCTGTAATCTCACCACTTCACGTTTCCTCTCATAGATTTCAGGACGAATCTATAATGACATACATATTACTGCGCTATTAACTTTTTTTTGTATGAAAATATCGAATTTAAAGGGGGATGTTGGAGAAACTTTCACTAAAGGTTTTAATGGTTTAGCAGTTCACTACTGTAACATATGCATGTATGCCATAAACCATGGCCAAAACAACTTACAAGCCCTGTCTCACAAATTAATAAAGTTTCTGGAGATAATTTGTCTGTAACTGATTCTAAAAACGCATTATCTTCTCTTCTGAGAATAAGACTTACAAGCCTGTTCCGGCTATGAAGAAATTTTATGCCCAAGACATCGTGATGTTGATCATACCCACAAAAACAAAAAGGCAAAACAATAGGTTAGTTAAAAATAACAGTCTTTTAGGATATTGCGCCATGTACTCTGGTAGATGTTTTCTGACACTTCAGAGGTACTCGGTGCCTGTGAAACGTAAGTAATCTTCTACCAGACTACTTGGCACAACATCAAAGAAGACAGTCATTGTGATCCTCACCACTGTAAAAACCTAAAATCTCAAGAAGATGTTAGCTGCTCATTGTGAGTCATCATACACTTTTAGAATACTTTACAGAAATATTACTATGTGGCTAAACTGCTTGCTTGCTTCCATAAACACAAACCTACTCCACATTTAAAATAGCAGACATTATACATCCTGCTACTTGCCTTTCCTGAGGCAGCCACACATCCATCCTGAGTTCGAATCCAGGCTGACCACTGGCTCACAACACAATCTTGGGCTACAACGCAGGGACGAACATCAGATGGCATCTCACTGCGATAATTTTCCTCGTTGAGACACAGGCTGTGAACAAGAACAAATGACACACATACACATGCCATACTTTTCTGTAGTGTGCATACAGCTGATCAAAGATGCAAAGATGACTGGAGGTTGTAAACAGTGAGAACTATGATGAGAATTAACATACCAGTACTAATGACCAATTTATAGACTGCTGATGCAATAATACCTTTTCCAGCATATATCTTTTTTGATATCCCAATATTTTCAGGGCATTCCCAACCTTTCAGAGATGGCCAAGTACTCCAAATTTGAATTATGAAGATCGCTTATCAGATTTCAGAAAACTTTTGAAATTAACAGGATGGGTGCATGCATGCAGGCATGCGCGCGCGCGCACACACACACACACACACAATGTAATGTTCAGTTCTCATTAAAAATATTCAGGTGCAAAGAAATTTACAGCAGTGCATATACTAAAGTAACGTGAAAGTATTTTCTCTACTTCCTATCAAATGTTTTAATGTTGCTATTCCTTTACTTTATGCAGATATCTTTACTTAACTGATGTCAATGATGGCACCACGGGAATCCCTACATGACACTTCCCTCGTCTGATAGCCAACCTGTGGCTGAAATGTAAAATAGTTCTCTGTGCTCTCAGTAGAGGTTCCACCAAGCACAGGTGACACAGGAAACACATTATTGTTGTTGTTGTTACTGCTGCCAGCACTGCTTCCAGGGATGTACAGTGCATCATGACCACCTAAAACCAACAGTACGCATAAAATAAATTTTCCATGTAAATGTGAGAATGGGAACTAATCAAACTAATTATTTATATATCACTTCTTATTGAAGCTTCAAACTAGAAATTAAGAGGGTTTTGTAAGGACTAAAAAGATGCAATTCCAATTGAGATAACTGAATGATTTCTTAATAGTGAATGGTGCTGCTGTAGGCGTCTGCAGTGGCGTGGGCCTTCTGCCGCTTGGTCACTGGGACCGTGGGTTCGAATCCCACTCAAGCCACGGATGTTTGTCCGCGTTTTTCTGTGTTGTGCTGTCCTGTGTACAGGTAGAGGCCTTACGACGGGCCGTTTCCTCGTCCAAGGAGTCATACCGAATGTCTATAGATCAAGCCAACAAAAAGTTGGGTCCTGCAGTGCTCAGGCACTTGAAGAACCGGTCGCTCCCAGTATCCAGAATGATGCTGCATGACTTCAGTCTTGTGTAAAAGCTGTCACTTTCATTATGCAGATCAGCAGATATATGCGTTTGAAAAAATTACTGACAAATGACCTTGAAAATTTCAAATTCCACTATTCGCCAAACACTCGGACTGATAGTGTGGTGACCTTCAAATGACACTGACCTTACTATGACCTAAAACTGACAAGTATTGTCACCCAGATTCCAAAAGATCGCCAGAAATGCCTTTGGAAAATTGACTTTCGAGTGACCTTGAAAATTTGAAACGCCTTTATACGGTTAACCCTCTGACTCATATTGTCGTGACCTTGACTTTACACTGACCTGTCTGTGACATGAGTATTGCCACTCAGATTCCTACAGATCGGCAGATATATGCCTTTGAGAAATTGACTTTCGAATGACCTTCAGAACTTAAAACGCCTCTATCCGGCAAACCCTCGGGCTGATATTGTCGTGACCTTGACATGAAACAGACATGTTCGTGCGCGCACACAGGTAGAATTCTTCGTGGTACATTGCCACCGCCATCAGCTATCCGGCCACCGCACCGCATCGAAAATTAATAATGTTGCGGTAGGAAAACTGTAGCTGTGAAACTTCCGCACGTGCGCTCACTTCCTATTGAAACAATTCGTTCCATCAATGCGGCAGAAAAACCGTTGCGGTCCAAACCTCTCGTGCGCGCAGTGTTAAGCGTGAGGCCGCCGGCGGCTCATACGGTATAGAAATTGTTCTTAAGATTTTATATGGAGGTCGGAGTCGGTACACTTTTACCAACTCCGACTCCCCACAGCCCTGGTAAATTCTGTTTCCCTTTTGACATCGGTTTCACACTTCACACCACGCGCTGGACTGTTTTACATGGCGGCGCTAGACATCACTTCTACTGCGCATCAAATCATATGCTTACCACGTAATCCGCTATGCGTTCAACATACAGTTAATGCATAATAATGATGTGGCTTACCGTGCTGCTGGAAGGGCGTGTTGACGCGTGCCTCAATCAGATCTGCCGACACGACTGACGTCGGGGCTTCGCAGCGCCGCCATTCACCCAGCTTCAGCTTGTACTCAGGCGACGGTGCGCGACTGCCTTCTTCAGCGCTACTACTGCTGTGTACCAAACATTCCGCCCGCGGATTACAAACCCTCGTATCAGTTAATTGTGGGCACGGCCGCCCACCGTTGAGAGGCGCCACCAACACAGCTCGGACGCGTGTTTGGTTGACGGCAGAACAGCCCTTGCAGGAACTCCAGTCTCCGTAAGGACCTACCACGCAGTCCTGGGGACGTGGGATGTGGCAGAACCTGACGGGGTCAGGCTTCCTGGCCACCGTGAAGCAGTTTTCCTCGTCCACCGGCCGGTGAACCTGATAGCAAAGGTCTGTGTTCAGTCACTGGGAAAGGACGGTGGAAGGAGTGAATGATGGCTGAATGTACATTTACCTTGATTGCTTCGTGCGACACAAGCACGCAGCTAACGTTCCGCTGCGTAACCCCCAAGTTATCGTGTCGGGTATCGCCTGCCACGGGCTGATGTACAGCCGCCACATTGTTCACGTCTGCAGGAGACACGGGTAGACACTGACCCCAGGATCCCACTTGCCACTGCAGTTTGTCTAGAAGAGAACGGGGCAGAATGGATCAACACACGCTGGATGCCTCCTGAACAAAGCATTCTCAACTGCTACGTAACCCAAGAATTATAAGAGACTTAGAAGAGAGACGCATTACATTTTAAGGTCTCGAGGTCGGTCAAAATTTGAATACGGGACTTCCCAAATGTTCATCAAGAGTGCTGAGTGCTAGAAACTACATGGGAATTTTCAGTAAGCCTCCAGTGCTTCTGTGTTTGTCAGTTTTAATTGGAATTATACCCGACAGAGAAGTGCACACTCTCACATTTATTATTTAACTACTGAGTAAATGCGGTTTTATTTTACGAATTTGTTGTGTGTGCTAGTTTTGACAGCGACTGGCCTAACAGAAATAATTTATGTGAAACAAACATGACATATATGCAAAGGCCGTCTTCTTGGTTGTAGCGCCGTGTAGTAGGATTTGTTGGGCATGAAACTTATCTCGGAACTGAACCGAGAATGTTGTCGCTTCGTCATTGCTATTGATTCATAACCCTAGATATGGAACGGCAGAGTAGCAAAGTTGGGTTCAAGAAGTAAGTTTACTAGAATGCCAATTAGTACGCTTACAGGTGGGTAGAGGAAACGCATTGGGTGGATCTGTCTGTCCGTCCACTGACTGAATTACGGGCTTCAGTTTTATAATACTTCAACTGATCTATTTTCGTGGAACTGTATGATATGCTTGCCAACAGAAGCCATATTTTAATTCCAATAGTATCACGGCGATCAGAAGAGTCTGCGAGGTTTGCTTTTAATACAGAGACTTTGCAAATTTTATAAATCATCACTACTGTAAGTCATCTTTAAAAAAACTTTTATTGTGGTAATGTTTTATAAAATTTGAAAATAACAACATGGCAACCATGCGAAAAATATGCTCGTTATATCATAATAATAGAAGTACAAATAGTACCAAGCACAAAGCGAACACAAACCGTCATCCTTCGGAACTCTTCAACGTACTACGAAAATATTTGTCTTGTGTTATGTACACAATGGTGTTCAAATACATATAGGAATACGAGAAGAGTCTTTCTCCGCGTTTCCTTTAATTACTCTGCCATTTGTGTACACAGACTTCGTAGCTACATAAATTATGATTACTTCCTTATACTGTTGTTTTCTTACTACAATTTCCGGTCCAGCGGATTGATGGTTCAGCCAATAAAATTACAACTTAAGCTGCACATGAGGTCACGTGATTGTGGCATAATCTTGCCGGTTCTATGATTTATAGCGCGACTTATCTCAACGCCATCTCATTTTTCATCGCAGTTCTGATTTCCTCACAGTCTGTTAAAAAGACTCCAGCCCCAGTAAATCACTTATAAAGTAAACAGACCCTGGCACTATCGGAGGTTCGAAGTATATCAACCTCTGAGTGGGGAAAGGAAATAGCAAGGTGCTGTGAAGTAAGGTTAAACGTCCACATAAGTTGTGATATAGCGCGTGTGACATACCTTTATATTCATCTCTTCTCTTGCCACCCTCCTCCGCACACGCATGGCGACTAAAAATGTTATTTTACCGCCTTTTCCGCACTTCTATCAGTAACCCCTTTGACCTCTTCTGACTGCCCTTCGAAAGTACGATTTCAGGTTCTCACGGCAGCAACTATGAAGATGGCACCTTCTAGGATGTAGCACCGTGTAGTGTTGCAGAACTTGGCCGACGTTTTAGAAGTGCTTACTGCCTCCATCGGGGCGATCGCCCTGATGATGGAAGCAGTAAGTACATGTGAAACATCGGTCAAGTTCTGCGAACATGGTGCAACATCCTATAAGGCAGTCATCTTCAGCTCTTCTACACTCTCTTACTTATATTTTTGCTTCATTCTTCTTCCATAATACAAAGGGCTGAGTAAAACACAAAGAATGGTCGCAAAATGTTTGTAGGAACACCTCTTAAAAAATTCCCACTTGGAATGCAGAGCAAGTGGTGGTATACCATTAATATGAATCTTTGGAGAGCAAGCTGGGATGATCGGAGTTCGACACAGCTGGTTCAGGACCGTGTCCATTTGTTGAAGCTTAGGGTTCGAACCTTGGCCCAGAGATAAAATTACCTGAAACTTCGGTGGTTTTATTGTCACACCAGGCAACAGCTGGGATTGCATATTAAAATACACCACGGCCCTTCCTTCCACAACCGTTTCAATTCATCATTCAGAATTTCGTCACCTTCCCGATCTGTTCGCATTCTAATGACCTTTTGAAGACTATCACGTCTGTACTTCGACTTTTCTTACTCGTCTCTTCTTGTAATCAGTCTTTTTTAATTTCGTTCTAGTTGATTTTATCACAACTGTCTCATTTGTTCTCTGTATAACTTGGGCTTTCGGGCGAGCGTTTCACGAACGTTACGTGTTAAGGAACATTTCCGCACAAATTGCAATATCCACCTTTAAAATGGCGTCTGCAATGTTCAACACAAAACATTCGACGCGGCTATCACCCGAAACCCGAAGCAAAAACATTGAATTCCAACCGCGAAAACTTACGGAGAACAACTTCTGATAGGCACAATTTTCGTTTCCCTTTTTATTCATGCATCTTCCACTTTACTTCCTTGTCATTACTCACATCATGAATTCTCTCTTTGACGCATTATCTCATTTCTTTTAGTAACTTACCTCCGGAAGTAGCTTCAACTTGAGGTGGACCAACCCTGTTATCCTAAATCTTTGCTCCCTCTTCATATTGATTTCTTCTCAGCCTTATTCCAGTCCGTTCCTCTATTTATTCTCCCACTTGTCTGCATTACTCCCACCTTTCACCATTTGATTCGTGTGCTTGCTCCATTCCTGAGAAGATGAAGTAGGTAGTTTCATGCTAATGTTCTGCGGCAAAGGATGCGAGTTCAAATCCCGTAGCCGATCATCCTTTCCTAAATGCGATTTCAGGTTCTCAAGGCGGCGAGTATAGGCGGTCTTCATCCTGTTGTAAGTTAAAAGTTTCCACGTCTTCGTTTGTCATATGCAACCTATATTCTAGTTTCTCTCTCCTTGCATGTGAATTTTCAAGTCTTCCTCTCGCAGAGTCTCGAAACGGAAACGAAATCTGACACAGTTAGTAGCGTTTCAAAATTGGTGAATTTCGTATCACGATTTGATAATTCCACACAATAACACACGCATGTAACTGACGGCATGTTTGCTTGTAACAATGGCTCTTCGTCGCTCTGGGTCTCTCTTTCAGACTCAGACTTTAGGACTGCAACTCTGCAAGTCACATACTCCGCGGTAAAGACGTCTTTTTTTTATATTTTAACTCGTAAAATAACAGTTAGGCCTATTCTTTCCACCATTCAGTCTTCCTCTGCACCAAAAAGGAAAGTACTTAATGTGTATTACACAATATGCTACAATAAGAAAAGTAATTTACAGTCTTTTTTTATTTGGGTCTGCTTACAAAAAGCGAACGTTACGGTCTAGTAGTATTCAAATCTCAGTTTGAAGACCAGCTATCCTGAGGTTTCTCGTAGTTTTACTCAGTGCTTCCAGCATAGTACCGCAAAGTAGGCTATGACCGCTTACTTTCAAAACCATTCCAATTAATTATTAATTAATGTTATCATTTGAGGTTATACAGTAATCTTAGCAACTACAAACAGTTTCTTTCATAGACAAAGAATTTACAAATAAGAATTTAGCTACAAAGTACTAAATAAGCCGCGATTTCAGAAAGAAATGAGTCTATGAAATAATTATACTTATAATAAATATGTACAGAACAGAACTTACTTATGTAATCGAATGAATATATTTAGCCTAATGAATATTATCCAACTGCATTTTCGGAACATTCCACCACTCCAGACACATCTGATTCTGAACCGCCCTCACTACAACCGTTTCTTGCAGAACCAAAGTTTCACGGTCCGTACAGATTATTACGTTTCCTTTCAGAACGTGAACACACGCCCAGTACCATTAGGTTATGTGCTGTAACACAGAAGCCTACCCTCAGCCAGTTATAAACCAGGATTTTGGACTGGGTTGGTGATGTCCCACATCGGTTGGAAAAACAAAACCTTTCAATGTTTCCCACATCAAATCGTGTGGGTTAAATTCTAGATGATAGGGTACTTCGTGGCCGCTCTAACAGGTTGCCAATAAAAAAGACCCTTTGAACTTGGGCTTAGGCGCTTTATTCAACGAGTAAGTTCAGGGTTTAAAATATCTTGTGAAAAAGAAATTCAGCCACCGTTCCATTATGTCTATCGGGATAAGGAAGAATTATCAACACAGTTATCGTTCTTGCGTGTTAAATAACTGCAGAATTTTGGACAAAAAATATTTAAAACGGATAGGAAACAGAGACTATGACATATTCAATTTCTTAACCTGGTTTTACAGCGGAGGAACTGAGGGGAAAACATGACATGACGAAGCTGACAGATTTGAACTTACTTCTCCTAATATAAGCTGCTCGGTTATCCTCGCTCTTATGCGTTTCCTCCCACTGTAAGTTTTAATCTTAATTAAGATAACTTAGCGCTGAAAGATGATAAAATACTTCAATAACGTAATTTGGTATTCGTGTAAAAAACTAAAAGAAAATTAATTTCAATCTGATTAAAGGATAACAACTACTTTTCTCTCAGATTATGGTTATTAAATATCATTCAAGTTATCTTCTATAAGAAAATAAATTGATAGGAACATTTTTGGATGTGAAGAAAAATTGAAGTCAAGTGATGAAATATCAAATAGGAGTTTTAGCTTTCCCGACTTCTACCGTAATACAGACAGGGGCGAGGTACAGGATTAATCTTTAATTATAGTTTCAAGTTTATTATAGCAACATCAACTTCATCGTTTCCAGAGACGAGCTGTCGACGAACCAAACATGATGGTATAATAATTTAATTAGATGTGGAAGAAATTACAAAGTAAAAATAAAAGTTAGGTAAATATCACTTATTTGTCGAAGTTTGATTTCCATTTTATTCAAAGAACCAAGAAACGTCAGTAAACTTCTATCGGCCTACATGGCGCTACACCACAGAAGACAGCCATCTTATTTCTGTGTATACAAACCTTCCAGGTTTTACGTCGCTGACGGGGATTTGAAGATTCTTAACTGAATGGTTGCAAGCATTAGCCGTATTTAATTTGCTATTAATTTCTTCGTGAATGATTTTTTATTTGACAGCAGTAGATTTAAAATTTAATTTGTGCTATCAAAGTGTGAACACTGGATGGGCATTGCAAAAAACCCTTCAGGGAACTTCTCTGGTAACTAAGTTCGCACATTTTAGTTCTCACGTAATTCAGTTCATTTTAATAATTACTGGCATGTTACATTTGAGCAACAACTAGTTTGTCAATAGTGTAACTTATAGCGACAAATACAAAACATAATTAAAAAGTTCGACCACGCAAAGCACTTACCCCTGTGATGGCGGCAGGCAGTGAAGCAGGGCTTGCTAGTAGGTGGTTCAGACTGTGGGTCGCACATCACCTCCAGCACGGTGCGGCCATCAGCCTCCGAGCACCATACAAGACGTTCACGCCGTCCCTCCCCACAGCCCCCTACCGCGTAGCATGACCCCCAACCACCTGAAACAGGAGCAAACACAGACGGAAGAACGTAACCAAAAACAAGCCTGCTTGCACAATTATCAATTATTCGCGCATCTTCATTATTTCTCAGCGCAGACAATAATCTTATTACCCATGATCCTTCGCGACTCCTGTCGCCCTGCCATCGACCCAAGATTCCGTATAAAGCGTAGGCTATCATCGGGATACATTATGCGTACGAGTGCAAGTATGATCGATTATACCTTAAGAATGGATAAACCAATCAACACCAAACTTGGCATGCGTATGCCATGAAACCAGGAAAAGATTTCAGAGGGTCAGAAACTCCGAAAGTGTCCTGAGTTCGAGTCTCAGTGAAGATGGTTTCTATAGCTCGGTAAGAAAGCACGATAGAAAAATGGAACAAAGACCAAAATTGTTTCAGCGGGGAGGTTACAGCAGCGGAGCCTACAAATCTGAAAACTGTCCTGTGTTCGAGTCCCGGTGATGTTGGGTTTAAGTATAACAACTTTTCCCATGATATTCAACAATATATATCGAATGATCAGGCCGATTATAAACTTTCGAGGAATAAAAATTCTGCAGTAAATCTGCTAGTCTTATAGGCCTACGTAAAATAAAATTGTGGGTATGTGTAAGTTCATTGATAGCTCAAGAATGGAAAAAAAGATTTGAAATAAACTTTGTATGTTTATTCCTCGAGATCAAAAAGAGATTTTAGAAAGGTCAAACTCCGACAAAGTGTCCTGGGATCAAAACCCAGTGAAGATGGTTCCTGTAGCTCGGGAACTAATCACAGCAAAAAATGGTAGAAAAAAGGAATAGCTTGTGTAGGCGACGATGTTATAGGTACTAGTCTCAAATCCGAATTCTGTCCTGGGTGAGAGTCTCGGTAAATATGTTGCTAAGGATTTTTTCTGTGATATTCAACGATACGTACATATCGAATGATGAGACCTATGAAAGGCTTCTTGGAGATAATGACTGATAAGACATGCAAGCATTTGTCGAATTTCCCTGCAGTAACACTGTCGGTACTCTGCCAGTTACTAATGAATTTAAGTGCAAAAGTCTTTGAAAGTAATTTGTTTTACAAAAGTTTTAATTGCTCTCCAAATCAAGTAATACTACTGGGTAGGCTACACGATGTAATCACAGCAAGAACCGAGCAATTGGTATTAAAAAATTATATTTATGAAACATAAATAAAAATCAAATCCAACATTTATTACATTAATAGTTAAATCTGGGTTGCCTGAGGGCAGGAGAAGTCATCCTGAGACGCGGGACCCATAAATCGCCGAATGCCCAGCGTTTTAAAAATAATTTCAGCTCGAATTATAATTGTAACGTATATTCGATCAAGAAAATTCGCAATGATATGCAAAGAAAGTTTCCAAAATACAACAAACCTGTTTTCCAGAGGAATTTCTGTTTGCCTCCGTCATCTGTGGTTCTAGCATCGTTATTCCCACAGGTCGCCACCAGGAGCGCTGCGACCAACACTGTCGTGAGTCTCATGTCATTCACAGATCCTCAGCCATCTACAAAGAAAATTTCTCACTTTTACTTTGTAGGGTAGAGAGTCCTGATGAGCCTTTTAACAAACCCGAAGGTTCATTATATTGTCCACAGCATCCCACCACTGGACCTTACCCTGAGTCTGAGAATTCAGTCCACCTTTCGCATCTAAGACCCATTCTAATACTTTCCCCCGATCTACGCGTAGGTCTCCCAAGTGGTCTGTTCCTTTCAGGGTTTTCGACTAAAATATTAAGAAAATTTATCGTTTCCTTGATAAATGGTGCAGATTAAAAATTATGACTCTCTTCATTATGAAGTCTGTTCCTCTGACTGCCTCTCTCTTAAGCCTAAATATTTTCCTCAGCATTGTTATAGTGCATGCTATTTTCTTAGTGTGATAAAGTTTCACGCATATAAAACAAGTAAAATAATTAGATTAGTACCTATACTATGTTTGTACTGCACTACTGTGTCCCACTGTTTCATCAGGGCGTGAATCAGAGGCTGAAACAGACCGGTACGGCTGCCCGTGGTTGTTCCGTCATTACAGCAGGCTAATGTCTGCGAGAGAGTCAAAGTAGCTGCCTTTGAGGAGGCCAGACGAGTTAAAGTGGTATTCGAAATTTAATATTGCACTAGAAGAGATCCACTGTCTCGTGTAGCAGCCAGGCGTAAGTACTCAAACGAGGATCCAGGCACAAGAGTCAGTACAGGATTCCAAGTAAAATGTTTTGAACAATGCAATGAGGAATATAAAGAATTCTTTTCAGGCATATCGGTTGTAGATAAAGTAGTTGCAAAATATTTGCAGTCCGGTAATTCTTCAGGGAGAAAAGTTGAATGTCGAATATTTATTGTGCATGATCAAAGTAGTTAAAGCGTTAAACCTTCTGGGCATGGATTTGCATACAACAGAAATACGAGATTCTGCAGGAAAATTCCATAACCGATAGATTTAATCATAACGAATGAAAACTAAGTGTGAGTTTCAAGCCATTGTGAAGGAGATGTGTCTGAAGTAATATTGATCTTATTGGTGGAAACTGACACACAGTGAAAGTCAGAATTGTTGCTTGAACTATGTGATTACGGTCGTTAAGAAATTGACCTGCGTACTTAAATAAAATATACGGATAATTACTTTATTAGTGTAACAAGTTGAAAATTCAGTAAAAAAGTTTAATGCAGAACATGTTTAATAATTGAGATTTAAAATCGTTGCTAGAATGCAGCTTGTAAGAGTAGCCACCGCACGAATTTTACCGACGGTTCAGAGGTCCTTGCTGCCTCCATCACTAGGGAGATGAGCAATAACGCTTCATAGTGTTATTCTGCATTATAAGCTTCCGGCTCCAAACTACATTCTACTCGACGCCGTCAAGAAATGGAATACATGGTCGCTGGAAAGAATAGGAAAAAGTGAACGATGTAGGACAGAAGTAATGGGATCGGAACACATGATTTGACACACTCTGTAGCGACACCTGTGTGTGACAATGCTGCGAACTACTTGGTGGCGAAATTTATGTGCGCGTAGCAATGTTCAGATACCTCCCATAATAACAGTAGTAAGAGAGTAAAGTCTTCCCTCTGTAGGAAAGTTTACTCTATTAAACTTGAAACCCACCCCTTCTGCAGCTCGTAACTCCACCCCACCCCTACTGTAATAATAAGACCCTCATAAAAAGTGTCGGCCTCGCGATAGCAGCATATGGCTACTGCAGTAACCCACACCAGTGCGGCAGTTCGACAAGGTTCTCATATCCACCGCCTCTCTTGACACAATTAGCGAAACACCAATTACAGTACTGCCAACCTCACACAATAAAATGGGGGAAATACATCCCGCAGCGCTGCTTTCACTACACACAAATTAATTCGCAAGCCATGGCACCTTTTAAAAAGAGGTGCGCTTCATGCCTGTGTTCAAAAGTTTTTCAACATGAACAGCCCTTATATGTGTATATTTTCATAGCAATTCCATACTTATTCCTGGAGAGTCAAAAATAGCTAGTTGTAAATATTGAGAAATGCAGGGATACATTTCTTTGTAAGATTTGAGGTTTTCACAGCGGTGGGTATGAAGATTTCTGTCTTCTGGGTTGTTGCGCTGTGTAGTCTGGTCGATGTTAACCAACGTTTCAGAGGTCATACTGCCTCCATCATCAGGGCGATGAGTATGAAGATTTCTGTCTTCTGGGTTGTTGCGCTGTGTAGTCTGGTCGATGTTAACCAACGTTTCAGAGGTCATACTGCCTCCGTCATCAGGGCGATGAGTATGAAGATTTATGTCTTCTGGGTTGTTGCGCTGTGTAGTCTGGTAGATGTTACCCAACGTTTCGGAGGTCATACTGCCTCCGTCATCAGGGCGATAAATCGCAACAACCCAGAAAACAGAAATCTTCATACATTTCTTTCATTGATCTTCTCAGGCATTACACAAACAAGGTAGAATGGAAGAAGTGGTAAAGTTAAACAGAATTTATGGTCTCATTATTACGTCACTGTGACGTCCAAAGCTAGCTGATTCCTGCGGCAGACGGTTTACATTGCATGTGGGTCTGAACACGTTTTTCGCATTTCCACAAATAATTTTATTACTCGTTACATGCAAAATGTTCATAAACTGAACGCATGCAGGCCTCATCGTGACTGTCCGTCTGTCTGTCCGCATGTTTAAACTCTATAGCTATTGGACAGACTTTGAGACAATTGGTATGAACGTTATTCCACTGGAGGCAAGCCCACACTCGTGCTTTTTAATTACCCAAAATCGATAACAACAATACGGAAGGCAATTTTGGGATGTGAGAACGACACTACGCCATATTCTGTAATTGTAAACAACACGGCGTTCACAAGAAATTAATCATCTTACAAAAACTATTGGTACTAATAAAATAAATATGCGTTATTATCAGCAACAACTTTGATTAGAAATTTTTTTCGATGTCAGGAACTTGTAACGAAATGAACTAACGAACCCCATGGAACACAGTCCTTGAGAAGATGATAGTTATTTAGTTGATCAAGAAAGTCCCGCCCTTCATAGAACTCTGGACCTAAAATTTCATTACCGGAGTTCGTACATACCACCACTGGATCCTGATACAAATAAATTCAGTCCACAGTCTAACACACTGTTTATTTACAATACAGTTTTTACACTACCCTCCATCTACACTTCGTCTCCCAAGTTCTTTTTTCCCTTCATGTTCACCGACTAAAATTATGTACGACGGACTCGTATCTTCCATACGTGCTACGTACACAGCTCACCTCATCGTCCTTGGTTTGATCGCCTTAATAATATTCTGTAACCACCACAAATTATAGATTTACTTAACAAGGGATTTTCTCCCGTTACGTCTTCTTGTTCGCGATTAATTAAATACATGAAAATTCATTTTAAGTCCCCATGGCTGTTGGTTGGCTTCACAGCAATGAATAAACAAGCACAACGAAGTTAATCAAATAGGAACTTATTTCGAAAATATGTTTACAACTCTTTTCTACATTTCTACAGTGATCTGCGAAAGTCTAACAATTCTCAAAGTTGAATATCCGGGAAATGCAACTCAGCATTGGCAGTAACGATCATAAAATTCAACGGATATTACAATTATATTTCGTGCATTTAAATTAAATTAAAGTTGTGGATCTTAATAAGACAGAATTTAAGTAAAGTGAATATTTTATAAAGATTCTCCTGTTTTCCATAAATCTGATATAACGTGAAATAGCAGTCACAGCGGAGTAACACAAACTAAAATAATAATTCGTCTAGCTTTTAACCAATCAAGCAAAATGTAATCTAAATCTGTTAAGAGCGTCTGGAGATGAGACGTACGAACACTAGGCCGAAAAAAGAAATAACCTAATGATGTGTTTGTTCACTTCATGGCTTTCGTGCATGGAGCACATAAAGAGGAAAAGGAAGAGTTGCTTTCTTTTACGAGTCCATACTGCAGTTTCTTTATCTTAAAAATGAGCCCATGGGGAATTTTTCGAGGTAGCTTGAACATTCCAGTTTCAGAACCCGATATTTGCATCGCCTGTTAGCTTACAACAGCCTTGCCACTGGATTGAAACACGCACATGTGGGATCTACAAGAGAAAATGGACTAAAGTTAAACATTGTGTATTTACCTATAATAATATTCATCACCGCCTTCCTCAGGGCAGATCAATGTAGCGTTAATGCCCTACACCCGCATTTCAAAGTACTACGTGAGACTTTCTGTTCCTACAATGGTGAATATGCCGGGTTGTGGTAGTTGGTTATCAAAATTTTTTGAGGAACGTATCGCCTCCATCTTCAGGGTTATTCATGCCACGATCAACAGATTTAACATGTTCCAATATACGCCATGCTACCGGCTAACATGGGATTTGTGAGGCGAATGCTGGAAATCCTGAAATAGGTGACAACCCCCTTCCAAATTCGTACCTATTCACTACGTGTGATCATCTACATTTCTCATTCGACGTTTACGTGCCCTGTGCAGTTGCACGAATTTCGAAAATACGTTAACTCAGACCGGAAAACTCAGGCCTGAATTTTTGTTTGCTTCCTGCCTGAGAGATCAGAGTAAAGGACCCTTTCAATGTCCAACCGGTTCGATCGGTTCTTAAGAAAACCGGTAAAATAATCTTGAGCCTAAAAACGCATGGATTTTTAAAGTGGTGGTCTAGCGGTTAGAACGCTCGCCTTATAATCCTGGGGTCTCGGGTTCGATTCCCGGCGGTGCCCGAATTTTTAACTTGTGTTGGGCAAGGCCGTGGTCTAGGCAACACGGAGATTTCCTCCGGGGGCTTCTCCGGTTTCTCCGTGGCATCCCAACAATTACTCCATTCACACACAGAAGAAGGCAATGGCAAACCACTTCTGGATCATCTGCCAAGAACGTATATGAACAGGTCCCAGTCCGAGAAAAGGATGGAAGGATCCTGTTCATACGGACCTGTCGTCAGACAGAACACTAAATAAATAA